CCCATTTTTTCCCCATTTCCCCCCATTTTTCCCCATTTCTCCCCATTTTTCCCCATTTCCTCCCCATTTTTCCCCATTTCCTCCCCATTTTTCCCCATTTCCCCCCATTTTTCCCCATTCCCCCCCATTTTTCCCCATTTCCCCCCATTTCCCCCACACCCCTCTCACACTCGGCCTTGATGGCGTTGGCGTTGATGGGCGCGTAGGGCCGGCGCGCGGCGCGGCGCGGCTGCAGCACGTCGCGGCACAGGCGGCGCGACAGCCGCGTCAGCCGCGTGGTTTGCAGCAGGAACGTCTGACGGTTCTTGGCCAGCAGCTTGGCCCGGCTGGCGCTCGTCGTGTACGGGGACAGCGACTGCGCCTCGGGACGGGACAGGTGACCCCGGGAGTGCGGCTCCTGGGGATTTATGGGGGGTTAGAAAGGGTTGGACAACCCCAAAATCCCACCTAAAACACCCCAGGGTGGTGTAGGGGGACAGGTGACCCCGGGAGTGCGGCTCCTGGGGATTTGTGGGGGGTTAGAAAGGGTTGGACAACCCCAAAATCCTCCCTAAAACACCCCCTGTGGGTGTAGGGGGACAGGTCACCCCACGAGTGTGGCTCCTGTGGATTTATGGGGGGTTAAAAAGGGTTGGACAACCCCCAAATCCCCCCTAAAACACCCCAGGGTGGGTGTACAGGGATAGGTGACCCCGGGAGTGCGGCTCCTGGGAAATTCAGGGGGTCACGGGGGATGCCAGCACCCCAAAATCCCCCCCAAAACACCCCAGGGTGGTGTAGGGGGACAGGTGACCTCGGGACAGGGGTTCCTGTGGATTTATGGGGGGTTAGAAAGGGTGTGACAAACCCCAAATCCCACCCAGAACACCCCAGGTGGGTGTACAGGGACAGGTGACCTTGGGACAGGGGTTCCTGTGAATTTTTGGGGGATTAGAAAGGGTGGGACAAACCCCAAATCCCACCCAGAACATCCCAGGTGGGTGTACAGGGACAGGTGACCTCGGGAATGCGGTTCCTGTGGATTTATGGGGGGTTAGAAAGGGTGGGACAAACCCCAAATCCCACCCAGAACACCCCAGGGTGGTGTAGGGGGACAGGTGACCTCGGGAATGCGGTTCCTGCAGAATTCAGGGGGTCCCAGAGACATTCAGGGGTTCTTAGAGGGGTCTGGGGGCTCTAACAGGACTTGGAGAGGCTCTAAAGGGAGTCTGGGGTCTCTAAAGGGGGTTTAGGGGACTCTGAGGGGGACTTGGGGGGCTCCAAGATGGGTTTGGGGTCTCTAAAGGGACCTCAGGGGACTCTAAGAGGGATTTGGGGGGCTCTAAGGGGGTTTGGGGGGCTCTAAAGGGAGTCTGGGGTCCCTAAAGGGGGTTTAGGGCACTCTGAGGAGGATTTGGGGGGCTCCAAGATGGGTTTGGGGTCTCTAAAGGGACCTCAGGGGACTCTAAGAGGGATTTGGGGGGCTCTAAGGGGGTTTGGGGGGCTCTAAAGGGAGTCTGGGGTCCCTAAAGGGGGTTTAGGGCACTCTGAGGAGGATTTGGGGGGCTCCAAGATGGGTTTGGGGTCTCTAAAGGGCGCTCCGGGGACACTGAGGGGGATTTGGGGGGCTCT